CCCTTAAAAATATTAGCTTAGGTAAGTGCACTGTTTAATATATAAATGGTAATATTTGATCTATCTAACGTTATATAATTTTTAGAAAGCAGTAAAACTATATATGAAAAATTGATGCAATTACAATTGATTCGTGAAATTGAAGAATTAAGTTCAGCGAAATCAGATGAATATGAAAAAGTATTACAAAAGTGGCAGCAACAAGACATATCAAATTTTAATGAATTTCAATACATTGAACCCATATTAACTCAAAGAACAATTATGTATAAAATAAATAGTGCTTTAGATGACAACATGTTGATAAAGGATGCACTTTTCAATACATACTTAGATTTATCAAAAATTGCAGCGGATAAAGATAATTTACATGTTGCTACACGTTCGCTAGGTAAAACATAAAGATATAATAACATTTAATAGATAATTATTGTAACATGTTTATTATATTTTATACATAACTATACATCTATTTATTACATAAATGTACTATCTTTAACTATTTTTATGTAAAGCTGTGCTAGCAAAACAAGTTGACTTGCCCCCAAAAGTTCAAGATCAATTACTTTATCAAGAATCTCTACTAGCACGTCTTAGAAATGATTTGGAAATTGGACGATTCCTTTTACGTAATTTAATACACAAGAATTCCTTAGATACAAATTTACGAGCTCAAGTATTGAGAGTTTACGGAGACTGGATGGCTGAAACAAAATCTGAGAATCCCCAGGTACATAAAATGTATGTATGAATTCTAGTAGTAAAACTAATTGTTTGCATTTTTCAGACCGTAATAAGAAAGTATTATATAAAATCTATAGATACAAGCTCCTCTATCAATGAACACACTATTGATAGCATTAAGAATTTACATGGTACACATGTAGCATTAGCTCGATTTGCTGACATACAGTATGAACAGATATGCATGTACATGAAATCTTCCCAATTTGAAAGTCTTAAAGAGTGCATTACTCCTATTGAAGGAGTTAGTATGCAATCAATTACTAAAGACAAAGATGTTAGGAGAGCCTTTATTTTGAATCAAAGACAAAATATAAATGATGCTGCAGAACTAGAACACATAGAAAAGGAAAAAGATAATTATTTAACTCTGGCATTACAGTAAGTTTCCAAATAATAGTAGAATTTCTGTGACGATAATATTCTGTGAGCCAATAAAAATTATCATTTTGGATAATTCCTGTAACAACTATTATATGACACAATACCAATTCTTTTTTACTTAATTAAGAGTAATTTTTATTGGATTATGTAGTATAACGCTATAAATCAATTAGTATACAGACAAATTAAGTTTTTCATATATTAATCTATAATATAAATTATCCTCTTGCAGATACTATCTACTAGTGTTGCAAGAAAGTGAAGATTATAATTTATTAATATTTAGAGTAGTAGCTCTCTGGTTAGACAATATAAAACAAAAAGACGTTAATAGTCTCTTAAATGAGAATCTTAACAAAATACCGTCTTTTAAATTTATTCCGCTGATTCCACAATTGGCAGCACATATAAATAATGTTTCCAATGCATTTTCTGAAAAGATATACTCAATTATGGAACGTTGTGCCATAGAACATCCTCACCATACATTGCCTGTATTATTAGCATTAAAAAATTTATATGGTGATTACGAATATAATACGACTCGAACGAGTAAAACTGTAGAACCAAGAGTACTCGGTGCTCAAAAATTGTTGCAGGAATTAACTAAAACAAATATAAGCTCAATTGTGGATGAAATGGACAAGTTATCACATTCCCTAGTTATGCTAGCTAATCTTGCAACTTCTTCAAATAAACGTGAGATGTTTTTTCATATAGTATAAATCTAATGATATAATAATATATGTATAAGTGTAATAGAAAACCCAATAGACATTATAGATTAATTATTAAATCAATTTCTACTCACAGCTGGTTCAATTATTAATATACCTAAAAATCAAGAGATCTTGAAAGTTAAAAATTTTAATAATGTACTTGTGCCAACGTTGACAATAAATGTACAACCGTGCCAAAATTATAATAATATAATTGGAATATCTACATATGTAGAAACATNACACAATACCAATTCTTTTTTACTTAATTAAGAGTAATTTTTATTGGATTATGTAGTATAACGCTATAAATCAATTAGTATACAGAAAAATTAAGTTTTTCATATATTAATCTATAATATAAATTATCCTCTTGCAGATACTATCTACTAGTGTTGCAAGAAAGTGAAGATTATAATTTATTAATATTTAGAGTAGTAGCTCTCTGGTTAGACAATATAAAACAAAAAGACGTTAATAGTCTCTTAAATGAGAATCTTAACAAAATACCGTCTTTTAAATTTATTCCGCTGATTCCACAATTGGCAGCACATATAAATAATGTTTCCAATGCATTTTCTGAAAAGATATACTCAATTATGGAACGTTGTGCCATAGAACATCCTCACCATACATTGCCTGTATTATTAGCATTAAAAAATTTATATGGTGATTACGAATATAATACGACTCGAACGAGTAAAACTGTAGAACCAAGAGTACTCGGTGCTCAAAAATTGTTGCAGGAATTAACTAAAACAAATATAAGCTCAATTGTGGATGAAATGGACAAGTTATCACATTCCCTAGTTATGCTAGCTAATCTTGCAACTTCTTCAAATAAACGTGAGATGTTTTTTCATATAGTATAAATCTAATGATATAATAATATATGTATAAGTGTAATAGAAAACCCAATAGACATTATAGATTAATTATTAAATCAATTTCTACTCACAGCTGGTTCAATTATTAATATACCTAAAAATCAAGAGATCTTGAAAGTTAAAAATTTTAATAATGTACTTGTGCCAACGTTGACAATAAATGTACAACCGTGCCAAAATTATAATAATATAATTGGAATATCTACATATGTAGAAACATATGAAACGGTTGGGGGTTTAAATACACCAAAAAAGATAATCTGTATTGGTACAGATGGAATATCAAGATATCAATTAGTAAAGGTATCAAGTAATAATAAATTCCGATATTTATTAATATTACTCATTAAATATTTACTACTCCAATTAAGTTGAATCTTAATTTTTAAATATTTATACTTTTTACAGGGCAAAGATGACTTGCGACAAGATGCTGTAATGCAACAGGTTTTTAGTGTAATGAATATACTGTTAAAAGCTTACAAAGAAACTAAACGGAGAAAGTTAATGATTAGAACATATAAGGTACTTTCAATGAAAAACGTTTTACTCTTTGAATTATAAGAGAGAGAATACTTATTTATTTCTTTTCTGCTAATTTTTAGGTTGTCCCATTAACTCAAAGATCAGGAATATTAGAATGGTGTGATAACACAGTTCCCATTATGTTCATACTGACAGGCACCAATTTTGATTCTGGACTTCATAAAAAATATTATCCAAAAGATTATACTGCAAGATTGTGCAGAGAAAAACTATCAGTAAGAGTACATTTTAATAAAATTGTGCATGCACTGAGCCAAACAAATTATTATGATTAATGTTTATAAGAAAATTTAATTAGTTGCTTTTAGACTAAATTATTAAAAGATTGTATCCAAAATATTAAAATTGTTTTAAGTCACACAAAAATTATCATTTTGAAACTTATTGAGTATTATTATAAATTATGAACATTCAACAAAATTTAAGTTAAATTGAATTTCTAGAATTAGGGCATCTTTAAAATTTTCTTATTATTTTGATTTACTTTTATCTTTAGCAAGTGGAAAAAGCATCAACTGATATAAAAGTGAAAGTATTCATGGACTGTTGTGCACATATGCATCCAGTACTGCATCATTTTTTTATGGAAAAATATCCATCTCCTGAAACGTGGTTTGAAAGAAGATTAGCATATACTCGCAGGTATGTACAGTATAATGTAAAAATTCATTCAACATACAATTTTGATCGCTGTATATATCATTTGTTTATAGCATAGCAACAACGTCTATGGCAGGATATATTTTAGGCTTAGGGGATAGACACTTAAACAATATCTTACTTGACCAAACAACTGCTGAAGTAATTCATATTGATTTTGGTAAATATATAGATCTTCGTAAATTTAATAATATAAGAATACTTGATTATAATATTTGTAATATAACTATTAATATAATTTGTAATATAACTGTAATATAACTATCAAATGTAATTAGGTATAGCATTTGAACAAGGTAAGGTACTACCAGTTCCCGAAACTATTCCATTTCGGCTTACACAAAACATTGAGGTCGCAATGGGTATATCTGGAATAGAAGGGGCAATGAGACAATGCTGTGAAAAGACTTTAACTGTTTTGCGTGACCAAAGACAAATAATCATAACTCTACTACAAGTCTTATTGTACGACCCACTGTTTACATGGACTATAACACCAGCTAAAGCACGTAACATTCAAAGTGACAGTTCCTCGAAACAAGTTGAAATTAATCAAAGTAAATTTTACAATTTTATTCAGTTGACTAATATTATTTATTTTTCAAGTAACAAAAAAGCTTACTTTCTTACAAATGAGTAAATATAATTAATATTTTACACAAAACAAAATATTATCAATAGGTTCTACTGGAACAAACAAAACAGCAGAAAGGGCTTTGTTAAGAATAGAACAAAAACTTCAAGGTACTGAGGAAGGTTTACCATCAAGCGTCTCAGGCCAAGTTGAAAGGCTCATACAGCAAGCACGCGATCCTATTAATCTTTCACGTATTTACTGCGGATGGCAACCATATTTATAATACTTAAACATTCACATACAACATTTTTATACATTTATTTAAAAAAGTTATATTTTTTTATACAAAGACTGGAGACATTATAAGAGTGTAAACTAATAAGGGCACTACAGGAACGTCCGTATTTAATTAAATTATAAGGTATTTTACTTTTTTACTCAGCATTATATAGTAGTAGTTAAATGCAATAAATGTAACATACGTTTTCAGGATATGATTTTTTATTTTTTCAAAATATATACATAGTACTTTATATGTATAAAATTTTAACTAAAAAAGTATGTAGAAGATAACACGTTATTTATATCAAACGTGCCCTGTGGTGGCACATCTGTTAAGATACGATGTACTTGTTCAACGCTTATTTTATCATTAGTCTGTATAGTTCTAAAAGCAAAATATATTTAATTTAGCATGTAAGTTTTATTTACGATGACCGTATTAAATATTTTATAACATTCTTAATTAATAAAAATTGTATTTTAAGCTATTATTATTCTCAATCTAGAAATTGTTTAGTTCCCAAATATCTTGCAATTTCTTGTATCATTAATTATTATTAATCTTATTCTGCTGGAAGAAAATGATGTACTTATAAATGTTACTTACCTATATATTGGGCTATATCGATCTACAAAAAATTTCGCTAAATCCTCAAGAATAGGTTCAGTGTGAAGCGCAACAAATTGTTCCCTACATATCTACAAAAAGAATTGATTATACATTATTAAAAATCACAGAATGTATACACGATATTTCAACGACTTCGTTATACTTATTTTCTATTACTCACTTTATTCATAATATCAACAGTAGATGCGTGAGTCCAGAAACAATCATGCACAGAGACAAATGTAATACCCGCTTCTTTACAATGTATGCTAGTAAGCATCATGTGAGTAGAATCTAAAGAATGTATAAAATTTGGTGCAAACGCATTTTTTTGTTTTATAGCGTTAGGTTTTCTGGAAATAATAAAGTTTATAGTCATTTTAAAAGTGATTATTTTGATTAATATAACACGTACGTATTTGTACTAACTGAATTGTTTGTTTATTATTTTCTGATTTTTGTACGGATTTAATATACGGTTGTATAATGGGCAAACCCAAAGGAGTAACCCATTCTACATTTTCACAGCAAACAGAAGAAATGATTCGAGCACACGATGTTAACCAATCCTGAATTTCTCTTGCGCTTTTAAACATTGTTCTTAACGTTGAAAATGTTTGTTCAGTTAAATATATACCAGCAGGCCAAATAAATTCTTCAGGAAACTTTTCTATATCTGTTTATAGTGAGAATAGTGAGGATTAAAATTAATCCTCATTTATTATATATTAAATTAAAAAATGACTTGATTATATAAGTCAAATTAAATATCCACCTTTTAACTGCTTCACTATTTGTAATTTTGCACCATATTTTGTTACACCATATACTGTCGTCATTACAGTTTGTTTTATAACTTTTCTTTTCACAAACCCATTTAATAATTTCGCAATATTAACGTTGTTTAATGTATCGGTTATTCGATTTTTCTCGATCTAAGTGAACACAACTGAAGATATATTATCCATAAAAGATGTGTAGAGATATTTGTAGTGAATAAAACCTACCATATCAGCAACGGTAGTATATACATCTCTCGGAACATCGCATGGATACAAATTGACACTCTCTGCACCAATTTGATCTCTACCAAGAGCTGCATAATGTTGAAGTCCATTGCAACTTCCATCTTGGTGTATTGGAAACCCACTTTCATATTCTTCTATATTTGGTGATTTTAATGCATTTGCTATTTCCATACATCCTGCTAGCGTTTGCCATGGATCCTCTGATTGTTTCCACCACATTCTACCCTGTAAAATTCAAATATCACTTTAATTTTAGTATTTTTATATATCATCTTTATTATGTAAGAAAACTGACGAAACTTATAAACGTGTATGTATTTTATAATGTAAATGGAACTTACTGTTAAAGGTTTAACAGCACTATCCAATATATTATCTAAATTTTCATTTGCATATTCAAGACGTTCCTTAAGAGAAGCTCCTTTCATTTGACTTGTTAAATTAATAACGTGCAATTTTAGCCAGTCTAGTCCTTTTGGACCCAATGGTTTGGTTTGTGCAAATAGCAGTAAGGAACGACTTAAGTCATTTGTCAAATGATTCAAGTGAGGAGGAATTGGATAAACGCGTCCTCTAAAATCCAAATTATGTGGTAGCCAAAATATTTTGTTTCTAAACTTTGAAATAACAAAACAAAAAACCTTTTAATTTATATCCACATCGTGATAAGTACAGTAAATTCAAGTCCACTCATTTTTATTTGTAAACTTAATATGATATTAAATTCAAAATTTATTTTAAATTTCAATGAAAACATACGTGATTAGCAAGAGACAACCTATAAAGTGTATCGCACCACAAAGAATGAGCATCAGACTTCTCTTGCTTAAACTTTGTCATTTCTATAAAAAATTTTCTCTTTTCTGGAATAGTAGCATCCTGTCGTAACAGAGTTGGAGCTATTAACATTGAAGTTGATTGAGGAACATTTAATTCCACAGAACCACCCTCCTGAAATATCTATGAAGATCATGCATATTTAATAAATATAGCATTCTGTGTTTTTTAATAATAAAAACATGTTGAAAACGCGGGTACCTTTATTATGATGTCAAGTATGGGGGAATTAATCTTCCATGGTATAGAACCTAGTTGATTCAAAGAATCAAATATTGGATATAGTTGTTGTGTTCGTGTACTTTGTAACTTTCGCCAATGATTGTCCTAGAAAGTACAACATTACTATTGGAAATATTTTTTAAGATTATATTCAGGAGAATTTTGAGATGTAAACACATCTTATAAACGTGTTAATTATATTATACGTATTATAAAAATTGCATTATACCTATAATTATACGAAATTTTTTCAATATAAATAAATTTTAAATTGGAGATAATATCTTACGGAGCCGTTTGTAAATCTTATAAAATCTGCTGATGTTAAAAGATACCCTCCTGTATGTACTGATGTCCATGGTCTTGGTGGAATATTAGAAGGTATAAAAGTTGAATTAAATGTTAAGGTATTTGGCTGTGCTCCTTTGTATATTTTAGACACAACAGGGTGAGGTTTAATCTACAACCAATAAATTAAATTGTAATACAAAAGATATATTTCATAAAATATTTATGTATTGACATTAAAAGTATACATACCTGTTCGGCTAAATAATTTTCTTTGTTTCTGAACAGTGTATAAAATGCAGGAATAGAATGTTTAAATTCTTGTCCTTTCAAGAGATCAGTTTTAAGTATCAAATCATTTAAAATAATCTTATATAAAAACTTGCCCACATTAGTTATTACATCTATAGGCCAATTGTAACATATAATATTCAAAGATGTACCAACATTTTTCTCTTGTCTTTCATAATATTGCCATACTGTGCGATTGTTCATATTATTGAACTGTTCTATACATTCAGGATGTAAGTACCATTCTAGATACT